CAACTTATCTGGCAATCAATATGGATTGATAACATGCCAAACTGCTCCTGGCGAGGTAGATGATGATGAAGAAACTTCTGACATGTATGCTGCACTACCTCACTTAATATTCTGAATGATTTTCCTTAAGGTCATTTTGAATCTGAAGATGAACGCGACATCTTAATGGTATAGTTGAGTTAATCTGAACATTCGTATGCATTAGACCATGTATTGAATTATGGTGTCTTGATGCACTATTTGAAGCTACTGATATTTGTATAAGTAGTAAAGAAATCAATCAGTAATGTCCAACAGAAGTGACTGAAGCCGGACTCCATGTTCATCTTCATTTTATAATTAAATATTTGCCACTTTGTGGTAGATCGAATCGCCATTTTTGAAAGCATCCTCATCATAAATGCCACCATGAACCTATTAAGAAATCTTCCAGATCGGTTCGTGAATCTCTACAATATTGAAGTCTGTCGGCAATTAGAAGCAGATTAATTTCAGTTTAGAATTATTAGAATGAAGAAACTTATAGAATACTGTGACTTTGGTGAGAGATTACTCTCCTAAATCACATTGGCTGCATTACACCAATACTCTTTGAATGATACAATTTTCCGGGAATCGAAGTATCATTCAACATATTGTTGACTAAATCAGACTATTAAATGATCAGTAAACAGCAAAATATCACAATATTCAATCTGTGTAGATTTCGATTATTTGAAGACACAAATCAAACTAAGTGAATAACACGATGGCGCTCGAACGGAATGATACAGAGTTCGAGTCACGGAGGGAACATCAATTATTGGATGCAGGTATATTCAGCCGACAAGTCACAAATAAGGAGAAAAGCACATCATGCATTCCATTGCTAGTCACCAGCCATGACTTCAAGACCAAGTATCAGCCCACTACTGATTTTGGACAAGCTGACGCTTTATCTAGACTGATTGGCTCACAAGTAAAACGGGAAGAAGGCACTTTGGTGGCAGCAATCGGGACGGAAACAGAAGTACATCGAGTTTTGGAAGACGCAGTTGATGGCTATCAAAGAAGCCACGGAAAGTGACAAGACTTTCAGAGAAGTTAGTGGTTATCTTCTCACCAAGTGGCCGAGCCGTCGTTTTCAAGGAGAGATGGTACAATATTTTCGCCGACGGAACTCACTTATGATGGTCGACTCATGTATTATGTTTGGTGACAGAATTATTGTCCCAAAAGTTTTACGATATAAGATTCTGAGACGATTCCACAGCGGTCATCCTGGTATCAATAAGATGAAAGCGTTGGCTCGAAGTTACGCATACTGGCATACGATAAACCAAGATATCGAAACCAGTATCAAGCTGCAAGTAGACCCGGAGAAGAGGTTTTCTTTTTTGAAATGGGGGAGATGTCAGGGTGATACAGAAGTCGCTCGCAAAAGACAAGCAAGCATCAAGAAACACTAAGAAGTGTTTCGTCCAATCAGCGTTCATTTGGAGTTTTGGCCAAAAATATCAAGGTAGCTAAACGTCACATGCGGATTGGTTGGCTACTACAGTGCTACTATGTTTAGTAGCGTTCCAGAATATTTCAGCGACACAAGGACATTTAGATATATTATTAAAACCCTATATTTTCTGTAATAAAATGAACCTTGGGACAAAGTATTTTCTCTCATACTTGTGTCTTCTCTGTGGTGTTCAAGTCGCTGTGTAGTTGTAGACTGCGGGTTACCGGAATAGCTTAGGAAACTAATATAGCGTTCAATCCACACGACATATCACTCCCCATCTCCAGTGAACAGTTTCGCGTACTTTTTGCATAACTCGGCAATGTTTGGTTTATTCGACGAGACATCCGCTGCCACTCTTATTTCAGCCACTTCGCTACTTTCGTGTATTGGCAGTGAACCATACTTTGTGACCACCTTATCGCTTCTTAAGTCAACTATCGATTTTACTTCCCATAGAAAATGTGCTCCTAATATCGGTCTCGATAAGCTTGTGGTTACCACGAACGGAAAATTTATCTCAGCATCTCTCACTTTTACGATGCTGTTAGATGCCCCCAACACCTCTAATATATGGCCTCTTGTAGTGTGGACAGCTAATGTACACGGCCTGAGTCTCTTACATTGCTCTTTGCCTATTAACGATACTGCTGTCCCCGTATCGATCAGACAAACTAAATCTCGTTCATTTATGTTCACTCTCGCATACACTGCTCCTCCGTCTACTAACGCAACAGCCCCCAGATACTCAGGATAGAAAGAACACTCGTTGTCACGTCCAAAATATCTGCGTCTTCGTCTTGTTGGACAGTTTATCTTCCAATGATCTGTCCCTCCACAAACGTAACATTTATCGTTCCTTTTATGGTTCACTCGTATTGTTGGAATCTCACGCTCCATCTCCTCAATCTTCTCCTTGACGTCATTTATCTCCCGACCGGAGCTACTGCTCGCGTCATCGGCTGAAGAGTCACCTTCGCCAGTTCAATGATATCCGTTGGTTGCGTTGCGTTCACTAGTTTCAGCTGTTGGGAGACGGTGGCAGGCACGCTCCCGATAAACTGCGACGCCAGCAACTATGCTCCCGACTCCTCATCCAGATTCGGCAGCGCAAGGCGTAACAATCTGGTAAGCTCCATAGTCAGCACCAGCGGGTCACCATCGACCGGCAACCTCACCAATTAAGGTGAATGCAATAAACAGTCTTATTCTGTGAAGGAGTAGACAAAACCACTTTCTAAATAAGATTCATTCTAATCATACCAATACCTCTTCAACATCTACGGAATATTCTGAAACAACAGTGAGGCAAATATAAACAATTTTCATTGTGTGAAGTTTCCCACTATCGAGTAGAATTATTGAACTGGGCATGCTTGAATGAAAATGCTGGAATGGTTGACGATCCAAAATGTCGTATAATAAGTCGAAATGTAGATGATCATTCCGATAACTTCGTTGAAATAGTTTGATTAAGTGACTTTCGATAAACGACATTTAAGCACCGAAATTTTAAGTGGATCATCGAAATGGAGAACGACGATGAAAGCGGCGTTTTTACTGATGACGATTGAGTATGTCACAAATTTAGCTTTGATACATACACCAAGCAGAAAACCGCTAGAATCGTAAAAGTGTAGATGATGACTGGTGATTCAAAAAAGATTTCTAATTAGGTCACGTTATTGTTCATGATAGAAATTCAATTACGACAGCCTGTAGGCACACTTTTAGAAATCAACCACGACCAAATTATAAGTGAATAAATTGGACATCAAAGCTTTTTCAACAAAAACGTATGAAAGAAAATCAAAATCTACTGAAACAAATTGCATATCATTTAGACAGATAAACGTATACTACTTATATGATGTTGAAGTAGTCCATTTTCACATCCGAAGAAACGAATGTTTACCTGTTGTAAATGATTAAGCAAAACAACTAGTGATGAAAACCCACTACTACCACTACTACTACTACTACTACTACTACTACTACTACTACTACTACTACTACTACTACTACTACCACTACTACTACTACTAACAACAACAACATCAAAATGAAGGTTGGTTAAGATGTCTCTCTTCACCTTCAGACGAGTTTGATCCTGTTCGAATACAAAAATGGAAGATTGAAAAGTAAAGAATATAAACAGAGTAAATGCGTGGAACTAAGAAAAATCGGGTTCATCGGAATAGGATAATTATGATTTATTTCATATCTGAGAGACCTACAGTAAGGATAGAAAGCAACATTGTGGCAAAATGTCAATAAAAAGGATGACACTTCAAGAAAATGTATTACTTTTCTTCAATATTCAAGATTTCTATAGTGAAAATTAGAACAACACATGTAAGCAAACAATATTGTTTTCAATTAGATCGTCATCAGTCAAGTCATCTAGATCTTCTCTTCCATAAACCTCATACTCCTGTTCATTGCTTCAGATGTCTATCTTGATTAGCAGTACATGTCTTGACAAAAACAACAGTTATATCAGACAATAATTCGGTTGAAAGAAAAAACAAGTGATTAGTAAGTGAATTTGTTTCCAGACTCCATTTTGAACACACCATTGTATTCATATGAGATCAAGTTCAAAACCCTCGAGTATAGCCATGAGCATGATACTGTTGAGTTTTTGGTTCAGGTGTTAGCGAATTCGCCAACCTAATCATACATCATCGATGAATAATTGTACCAATTCCTGAAATTTGCTGTTTCTTCTTGGTCAAATGTATTCAGTCAAAACATCTAATAAATTTGTAAATCAACATTTTAACCATTCAATTTATTCTTATTATGCTGTTCTTTTAATTGATTATTAATTAGCTAACACTATGTGAATGAGAATCAGGTCATACTACTCCTCATATCTAAATGAGTGAAACTATGTATCGTTGTGAAATAATCAATCAGCCAGGAATTTCTCATTTGTGCACTTTTAAATTTCTCACTATTAATCTGGTGAAATGTCATAAGACTACTTGCGATATATTCTGTACAACGTATAGATCGAAGTTATGATTAAAAGTACAACGACAGTTGAATTAATCTCCTTTGAATTAGGCACGCGTGAAATATCTCATCACCTGGACGGAAATCAACGACAAGAATTGAGATATGCTATGGCTTTTGACCAATAATTCATGTTCATACAGGCGAAGATGAAGAGGGCATCCACTTTGTCCGATGCAGTGATTTCCACAATTGACATAATCTATTTTGTAGATGATGTTCGATTATTATTCTTTTGTCATTTCATCTTTTGATTTGCATAGTATTTGTTGTGGTAATATTGTTGTTTCGTGTGCTACGCCTATTCCGAAAGGCTTCAACAATCTCGTTGTAGTTTCATTATGTGGTCCATCTATAACAGAAGATTAAGGTTCAAACAATTCTCTATGTACAAAGAGTTCATTTTATTCACATAATGATTATGCAAACTGTTGTTCTATCGGACCGTATACTGAAGAAAATGTGACATTGAAAACTTCTATGAACTATGGATATCACTACTACTAGTACTACTACTACTACTACTACTACTACTACTACTACTACTACTACTACTACTACTACTACTACTACTACTACTACTACTACTACTACTACTACTACTACTACTACTACTACTACTACTACTACTACTACTACTACTACTACTACTACTACTACTACTACTACTACTACTACTACTACTACTACTACTACTACTACTACTACTACTACTACTACTACTACTACTACTACTACTACTACTACTACTACTACTACTACTACTACTACTACTACTACTACTACTACTACTACTACTACTACTACTACTACTACTACTACTACTACTACTACTACTAATAATAATAATAATAATAATAATAATAATAATAATATGCCTGTGACCGGTCTCTTGTAAATATTCAGTTGTGCAGTGACCTTTCTCCGATTTGAGTGTACGATCGAAGGTCATGCGTTCGAGTCACGAATGCGCGATCATGGATGAACAGTGCTGATGAGTCTCGTAGTAGGACGAAATGACCATCCTGTGTTCTAGGTTTTCAATGGTGGTCTAACATTGATCGATTCATGATACCAATCAAAACTCAGGCTGGTGACTAATTTTTTATGTATGCCTTTGAACTATTTACAAGTAGGATAAATGTTTTCAAAGATCATTGTCCTAAAAAAGTAGTAGTCAATTTTCATTATTTGGAATGTCAATATGACCACTATCAGACATCAATCATCATCTCCTCATGAATTGTCGTCAACTTATGTCGTGATCGATCTGGAATTGATTGAATGTGCATTATAATGAATGATGACTTTGTATCGCTACCTGTATTTAGAATGACGGTAACAAAAGTCACGTAACTACTGCAGAATGTAACGTTACTTCGGTAGGAGTTGACTGGTTGTATGAATCGTTTTTAAAATATATGCTATCAGTGAAGTCAATTACCTTGAAAAACAGTTCCATTCAGAGCTGATATCAAAACAATCACAGAGATTGCTGAACATAAATATCGTTCCAGTTTATGATGAAATCTCTTCTGTTCACGCGTAATAAACCTCAACTGAGCACAACAGCAATTTTATCGAAGACAAAACCGAGATCTGCAGACATTTTGTACGATGCATCAGTTGATTTACTACTCTAACTTCAGTCCATTTATCATATTGTTACTACTCCACTTATAAATATCCTTCTGCATCTCTGATCCTGCTCGTTTAATGAATTTAGGTAAACTACTTTTGTTGACCAACAGTTATCAAGTGAAAATTTCTATTTCATAACTAAATTCACTCTATCCGTTTCTAGTTACAATGCTACTGCATTATAATGTGATGCAATTATAAACTGTCCAATTACTCGTAATCCCATATAGCTAATACTTAACAGATTTCAAATACAACTGAGCATTAGAATATACGTTGCCTCAGTAGGAGCATCTCTTCCACAATTTTGATATTTCTCTATAACTACCTGTATTATCGAATCGAGCCATTAGTTTGTTTTCATTCTGACGATTTTCACTTCCAATTTCCCTCATTCGTAATTTCATTCACACTCTGTTAACATCTGCTGGTAATATTGCTAATGCTGTTGTAATATTAACTGTAACTGTTCTGAAGAAGTCGACAGTTTTTTTCAATGTTAATAATAATATTAACTCCAAAATCACCGGCAATTGTTATGGCTTATGCATATTAGTCAATTATTATGCCTCAGAAGTTACTCGTGATTTAATCTTCGCTCGGATATAACACACTCCTTCAACAATAATATACCGTCAAACCAGACTCAAACCTACATAATTCATCTTTTAAGTAAATCTGATTCCAGCTCCGACATTGACGTTTCGTAAATACAAGACAATGACAGGTCTAGCACAATGATATAACATTGTAGGAAACAAACTGATGAAATACAAGTTTCACTTAAAAGAGCAGGTCAGTTAGGATATATTTTGAACTTGTTTGGTTGCTGACTAATCATGTCTTTTCTTCTCAATACATTTGACTCATATAAGCATTTGCGTATCAATATTCCACATTGTAGCAACAGCATGACTTATCAAGCAACACAGTTCAAGGGAGGACCTGACATCATGCGTGATTTTTCAAATAGTCTCCAATCTGGTTGACTCCATATATTAGTAAACTTTAGTTTGATGTGAAGTTGTTTTCGACATTCTTAGCTTGAACACACAGACACTGATATATTTGCCTGCAATTAGTAAACACTAACAATCTTTAAAATCTGGTAACATGTAAATAAGCATGTGTGAATGTGTGTGTGCATGTGTCAATGTTGTCATTATCGTCGTCATCTTTGTTGTTTTGTTCCATTCACCAATTTCTCCTTTTATTTGATCTTCTCACTGTTTTTCCCACCTAACGGAATTTTTATATTGTTTGTTTGAAATGGTTGTTGTTTTAAAAATAATCCTCAAATAAGTAGTATCTTTTGTTCCGATCAAATTTATTTTTTCCTTTGATGGATTTCATTTGAATGATTGTTGTCTTCTCAAATGTCAAGTGAAGATTTACTGTCAAGCTTATTAGTATGGTTGTAAATTTGCAAGTCAGAGAAGAGGTGAGGAAGATATTTCACTGTTGAGAGCCTCTGTAAGGATTCTTTTGTAAACTACTCCATTCGATAAATAGTTTAAATCTATTTTACACAACTAAAGGGTATGACAATATAAGGCAGGCATGAATAAAATGACCAATGTTATATGTTTCTATAGAACTACTTGGAGATGGTGTGATTTGTAAATAAGCCAAGTCAGTTAATGAAGGTCTGAATGAGTTGTAGTAAGGTTTTTATCAATATAATAATAATAATAATAGTAGTAGCAGTAGTGATATAACCGACGTTGTTATGAATTCAGTATGAAATAAATGCGGTATAGTCAAGGTAATTACGATGAAGAGAAATCAATGTGAATTGGGAAAGATGAATGGGAAGTTTGAGAAAGATATAAACATAAAAAGAATTTGGATAAGAGATTCTGAATACGAGTTACTACCGAGCTAATTAAGCTCTCTGTGTGAGTGAGATTTGTTACATCAATGTTATGTTCGTTCATTCTTTAGAGTTCAGACAATTCTCGAAATATTTAATGGTCTAGTTCCAGATGGAAAGAGACTTAGATTCTCATCTCACAACTACCGTTAGTTCCCTAAAGTTAAGAGATACATCTTTTTGATCATTGTCAACTAACACGATGCGTACGTTTATAGGCTCCTCTCGATTGCTTTCAATTACTGAAAATTGAACCTTATAATATGCAACGACAAAACTGATGGTGACGCTACAATAAAAGCATTAAACAAACATGACTCAGGTAATCAGTCAGTTCACACATGGGATTAATGAACACATGGTTTACATTTATTTGTAAAATAAATAAGATAATCCTTGATTATCAAAAATTATTGAACCTGAAATAGCGTTGAATGAGAATGTTATATTATAATTATATATACAGAAATTTGGTGATGGAATAGTTTGACCGGAAAATGCATGGAAGTATCATTGTTTGAAGTTGCAATGTGAATTCAGTCAGTCAGTAACAACGTAGAACTTCGTACGTACGTACGTCGGTTCGAGTTGCCACACCAATTTGTGAATTATTACAGTAATTACAAAGCGATTGTACTGAGCAACACAGATGAACAATGAATGATGATGTATGATGACTGTGGTGAAGTTGAATTGCCTGGACTCCAATAGAGAATTCAAGTACTCGGCTCCTAGAACAAGGAAGAGATCATGTTTATAGAGCAACTAATCAATAAGTCAGTTGAAAAGATACAACATCAACCTTCTGAGCAACAGTTCTTCTCTCTATAATGTCAATATTTGATTACAGTTTGCAATGTGGAATATGTAGTTACCTACTATCATCAAGAGAACGCGATGGATTTAATGGAAACAATCATTATTATAACCAATTGTACCAGTGATTGTTTTACTGTGCTCGTTTGTATAATCGCCAACAAATGCACCTCGACTACAGCCATCAACTGCCTTCTGATATTTGGTTTACGAAGGATTTTATCGGTTAACTGGCACGTAGTCTTCTTGTGGTGGTGTTCATAGTCAACCGCAACTCGACACCACACTACAAATATCATTTTAACAAGTGAATTCTAATGTGATCGTTAGAAATCAAGTAATTGGTAGAACAGTTTCATGATAGTCAACATAATGTGTTACATTAATATTTCAAGTAGATAGTGATGATGATGATGATGATGATGATGCTTTGGATGATGATGATGATGATGATGATGATAATGATGATGATGATGATTTGGATGATGATGATGATGATGATGATAATGATGATGATGATGATGATGATGATTTGGATGATGATGATGATGATGATAATGATGATGATGATGATAATAATAATAATAATAATAATAATAATAATAATAATAATAATAATAATAATAATAATAATAATAATAATGATCACGGACATCATGTTCATCTTCACTTCATAAATATAATATTTGCTACTTTGTGGTTCATCGAGTCGTCAATGTTGATAGCACCCTCATCATATTTACCGCTATAGACCTTCTAAGAAATCTGCCAGATCAATTCATGAACATCTACAATACTGAGGTCTGAATGCAGTTAGGATCAGATTAATTTCCATTTAGAACTGTTAAGGAAAAGGAAACTTACAGAATCTGAATCTTATTAGCAGCATAAAACCAATGTCTTCTGAATGATACACGAATCGAACTACTATTCAACATTCGGTTGATTAAATCATACTATTAAATGAGTGAATAGCACTATATCACAGTATTCAATCTGTGTAGATTTCATTTATTCAAAACTAAAACCGAAATATGTACTTCTGCGTGATGAAACACAAAGATAAACAGCATCAAGGAGATTGATGTTTGAAAACACGAATTATGATTGAATTGTGATTCATTTGTCTATTTTCATAGATAACATGCTAAGACTGAAAGTCTGAATGAAGAACAGCATGTGAATAAGAGCTGTGATTGAGTCCCGAATTGTAGCGAAATATAGATTGTTGTATATTGTGGCAAGCCTATTTGATCACTGTATCACTTGTCTACTCATTGTATTTCAGACTATTAATTCATTATGTTAATTTCAGTGTGTATGATCGAATGCATCGCTGTACATTAACCCTTAAGCTATCCTCTTACTGGTTGGAATGTACTGATATTCGAAATTTTATCCACACCCGATTAATTGTAAAAGTTATATATGGATTTTCAACACACAGACTGACACACACAAACACACTCACTCAAATTGTTTCATCGTATGCTTGCTCGCTGTACGTTTGCGGACTTATATTTTTCATTAAAGCTTTGGTGTATACTGCTTTTGTCCGTCGATTTAAGTAGTTTGTAACACCGATCGGAAGTGGAAAACCTGACAGCAGAAGGCTAAGATCGAGTTAAAGAAAATATAAGGGAAAAAAGAGAGTGTATTTTGGAAGAATCATACAGAATGTGTTGGACAAATGATGGAAATTCGCAAATGAAGTATTCAATGCAATGGTTGTGATATTTTATCAAGGTTGCCAAATGCCCTGGTGGTATGGCCGATAGTGTATGTATGAATGGATGGAAATAGTTAACTATTTTAGCATTCCTAAGGTACTGTCTCAATCAATATTCATTGAATCGTAGATAAAGTGGCCTAATGAAGTAAATTATCACGGCGAGTTGTCAATTTCCAAACCCACTTCATACAAACACCACAAACCTGTATATCGCTTGCTTTGAGGAATAGGATTTGCAAAGACAATTGCGAATTCTGTCTGATTCATCGTATTGAATATAACATAACACCACGTTCTATCATCATTTCTCTTTACATCCGATAACATTTTCAAGGTAAAATTGATTACTCCTTCTTCTATCTCAGTGTAAACAACGTGTTTGTCTAATGAACAAAAACATATTTGTGTTGACCTCTTTTTTGTTTGTAAAATCAGCTATGATCATACATTGTTTATCATTGATCACCTCATTGCATCTCATTAATCAATAAATAATATGGTATTCTCTATTGTTTATCGTGGGTGTCATATGAATGTTGGTTGTTGTTTATTTGGCTGACATCAAAGATGAGTGGAATGCTCATTTTACATATTATTACTACTTTGCTAAAAAGAAGATGAAGTGGAAGCAAATGTTCTGGTTGTCAATTCATAGATGGTCTTTCTCCAGCTAAGAATAAGCACTTCAATCATCGACCATCTCAGTTGTATTGTTCAACTAACTTCATATTTTATGATAAGAATAAGTCTTTTTGTGATTCCTGTTTCGTCACACTCCTGGTAGATTTACATACACTGGATGAGTTGCGAAGCGTAAAACATCAAGTGTATCTCTTAGGTGATGTAAAATTAAACTACTATGGTAATATGACAATGCTTGAATCCATGTATCAATCTGGGCTAGGCCACCATTAAAAACTTGGATTCATCAGAAAGCCGTTTAGCATAATACTCATGAATCCCAACGTGAAAATTACTGCGATGTCAACGGATACCCACTCTGAAATTATTCTAATGCTGTTTTAAGTTTTATTAGGAAAAGAAATGTCTCTTATATATTCCATCATTCAATGCCAGAATTAACGCTAACACTCCATTTAGAGAAAATCTCAATGACGTTAAATCACCTTCTATAACTTCGTAAATTTTCTGGTACATAAGTTTTGTTTTCATAATTTGAAAGATACTTCATTTTAATTAATGTACAAATTCTTGGAGGTGCTAGATGCAAACAAAGGTTTGGACTGAAGAATAACTGTCTAGGTGGGTTAGATACGCGCCCTTGTCCGGTTGAAAGCAAAACAATGTGATTGGTTAAAATGATATTTGTGAAATTCATTATACCTAAACAAATATGACCACCCAGCTTCTCAGCCAATAATTGTTCAATGAATCAAATCTAATTTACAATAAATAAGGAAGTGGATAAAGGATGAGCAAAAATTACCAATCGCAACAAATCAATGTTATTCCATCCTGTCTGGTTAGATCACGCACAGTTTCGTTCAAAAGATACTATTTGATTGCTTTATAACACAGAGTGTTTCGAATTCTGGAGGTGTGCTTCAATTCACAATCAAAACTTGCAAAATTCTAGTCAATACAAGCAACATAATCAAAAGTAGGAACAAACCAATATGGCTGCTGCCAAGACTTAGTATCAAGTAAACACAACATAAATGCAGTTCAGCAACAAACACGGAAACTTAGTGAAGGCATAAGAAAAATAAAAACTATAATAAAATACAAATATGACCAATTCAAATGGAATCAAAAAGAATAACATAATGTACAACCAAACGAACAACAATAGGAACAAACTACAAATGTATACATGGAGGGATTTTCACACACACACGCACAAAACCATCAAAATGGATCTTACAGGAGGTATTAGTCCATTGAAAACATCAGTGACAAATGTTGTGTAAACGAATTATTCCTTGTGAAATCAATGTTAGATAAAGAGAAGAGTTGAAAGCAAAAGTAATCAGTTTAGAAACGTTTACTTAAACTGGAGGGATAAAAGCTGTGATATTTTACAAGACTTGTTCTTTCACACTACGAATAATGAACTGAGTGCTCATTATGGAAGCGGTTATTTCATCATTATGAGATATGTTGTCCAGTGTTAGAACTCTGCTAAAATATCACTCAATATATGTAGATGGGTATATCAGTCTGAGAATAATGTTATGCTTTGAACAACCTTCGATTGGGGAAGTAACAGTACAACCTTAAACTCGTTGTACTCATAAAACAACTGTTGAATTCTCGGTTTGGATATTGCCTGTGGCCTCTAGTAATACAACAGTTATAAATAAGTATTCATAGACGTTCGATTGTCAAAAGTGTTTGTGAAAAGATTTTTTTTGAAAAAAAGGATTGAATAGGCTGATGCTAGCGTTCAATAGTGCTTGACTTAATACGTCGATGGACAAGGAGGTTCAGATGCAGACGTAAAGGCGAGGATTGGCAAAGCAAGGGCCGCATTCCTACAATTGAAGAACATATGGAATTCAAAACAACTTTCAACCAATATCAAAGTGAGAATCTTCAATACGAACGTCAAGGCAGTTCTACTGTATGGAGCTGAAACTTGGAGAACTACAACAACCACAATCAAGAAAGTACAAGTATTTATAAATAGCTGTCTACGCAAGATACTCAACATCCATTGGCCAGATACCATCAGCAATAGCCTTCTGTGGGAGAGAACAAACCAACTTCCAGCTGAAGAGGAAATTAGGAGAAGACGATGGAAATGGATAGGACATACATTACGCAAATCGTCAAACTGTATCACGAGACAAGCCCTAACTTGGAATCCTGAAGGGAAGCGGAAAAGAGGAAGGCCAAAGAACACATTACGTCGGATAATAGAAGCAGATATGAAAAGGATGAATTACAACTGGAAGGAGCTGGAAAGGATTGCCCAGGACAGGGTTGGATGGAGAATGCTGCTGAGCGGCCTATGCTCCTTCACGAGGAGTAACAGGCGTAACCGAAACCGTAATACTGACCGATCAACGAATTGTTAATGTACTTTACTTGACAGCGTTTTCGAATAACGAAACAAAGTTGCTCTAGTGAACACAATCAGAACTGCACGAGTCACATACTGCGGAAATATTTCCACAGTATTTATAGATAAAATATTTCACAGTCAGTGGTATGGATGAAAATCCAAACCGAAATATCACCGTCAGAATCATCATCAAACGAAATGTTTAATTCTTCACATAGTAAATAAAAACGACTACAATAAACGCAATGTGTGATGCTTTGTTAATGAAACAAGATGGATTGCAAAATATATGATTTTTTATTGAAATCATGGACCGATAAATGTTCGAACTGTATTAAAAACCCGGAATCATTCAGAAGCCTGTTTGTTGTATTACAAGACCCCATAACAGTACCTATTGACAATCATGAAAGCAGAAATCGAATCTAAGACCTTCAGTCTTGCGAGGACGTTCAGTCTCTTGCCACTGAGTAGCAATCAATGGTGTTCACGTTTAACTTCAACCGATTCACGACATTGCACAACCATTTACCATTGTTTCTGGTAGGTTACTGCCTCACACTGGACACAGTTGAACTCATCTGGAATAAACGAATAATGAAGTTAGTAAGAATCAACTGACGGAAGACATGCAAGCGAAGTGTGGAATGTGTGGTTTTTATATCATATGAAGACACTCTGGGATACTGCAACCAACAATCAACGTTTCATATCACAGCTCGCACATGATTCACATATAACATGAAAATGCTGAACACTTTTCAGTCCTAAACACTAACGAGAACTAACAAGAACACCTAATGCAAATGACTTTTTGTCGACTAGTTTCTCATAAATCCATGAGAATAGGACCGATTATTAGTCAAGTTATGTTTAATCACATGATCAATCATTGACGCAAACACTTCAGTATGTTTCAATCAAATCTCTCATCATATTACCAATGCTACGGCAGAACCGTTACTAGTTCATCATTCACTCTACATCTTTT